ACATCGTTCGGATTTTACCAGAATGCATCATTTATTTTTACTACCACAGTATGTCCGTTTTATTCACACTAGTTGAACCAATGCTTTCGTCGTGCACTGTGTAGCTGGGATATGGGATCTACGAGTACAGTTTACGTGAAGACTGTCGAGGTTGTCGAGTACCCTCATCCTCTTAACCCTGCTCTGGTGTACTGGGGTTGCCGAATCAGTCACGCTGAGGTTCATTGCTAAATACGTGACTTCTGAAAGCACACGTTGAAGTTTATGTGTATGTTTATCTCCCGTTCGCGGACTAGTGTGTTGCCAACACGAAAATCATGTTGGTTGAAACTTATCGAATACAAATGAATTTTCGCAGATGAATTCCTCTAAACATTTGTTCTCGTTGAATGATTTAGGGAATCTGTAAGGCCGAAGATAGTTCACCCATACGAAAGGTCTAATCATAAACCGAATTAGTCTCTTCCACTGAGGCGACATGAGACCCATTCGATTATTGCGTGGAAAAGATGAATGACACTGTTAATTATTGTCTCTATTGACCTTATTTTGTCTGTTTGCTTTCCTTGTCTCCACATTACTATCGGAACCCTCGAGATCCCGTTTTGTTCTTCGTGTTTGACATCTCACTCAATCTCAATGAACCAGGAAGTTGAAATGACTCCCCGTTTTCGGTAGCGATGAATCGGGTTTACCGGGATTCTGAGTGTCATAAACTGTTGCTCTTGTGCATGTACACTATATCCTTAGTCTTCCGGGGTTCTCTAACTTACCTCGAATTTGCTGTAAATATTCCAATCTCTACTGTAGTCCTTCATCCAAAAGGACAGCTGAAAAACAGCAAAACATCACGCTCACGAAAATGCATGGATAACGGTTGCGTAGATTAAAGCGAGATGTTTTCAACAATAATTCATAACTTGTAACTATCAATCAAAATAATTGGTTTGTAAATGGTAATGCTAATAATAATTTATAAAGCTATTTATGATGCAGTAGATCATGGTAACTGGTGTTTTGATTTATCATTGAAATTGAGCTTCATGTTCTCATCTGTTGAGTGTTCTTTTACCCCATTCTTGGCGAAACTCAACATCTCAATTTGACAATTCTGAAAGTTCGTGTTCTCTAGAAGAGGGGTTTAAAGGACTCTCCGAAGCTTCATACTATCTTCAGTTAACTTGGACAATAATTTGACCAAAATTTGTAAACCTCGATCAAACCCATCGAAATATTTTTCATTAGATCTTGACTGGATGGATATATATTGATTCAAGCATCTGTAAGTCTTGCGGAGCTATGGTTGCATTGTAAGGTCGATCAGGACGAACTTTTCCATTAAGATTCCTTCTCATCCTAGTGTATTCCCTATTGTTTGAACAGTGTCGTTTCCATGGTGTAACGGGTCGTTGTTCTACCCTTTTTCACTTGAACTATAGTCATGTGTGCCTATGCATTTTGGTTACCTAGGCAACTTTGATGTTTTCTCACTACAATACAGTTGATTCAAATATTCTGTCTCACACGGAATCGGTCTGGCGCATCAATTTTGATTAGTTATTCATTCATCGCGCTTCACATCACACTATTTATGTTGAACAGTCAAGTACTGTTGTGCAACCGCTACCCGAAAAGAGTTCTATAGTCTATCTGGTGTATGTATGTTCAGCTGGACACCCGTCTCCTAAACGCCAAACCTGTTCAGATTCAATGGGATGCAAGTCAGTGTTGTTCTGTCAATCCATCATCTACGGTTTGTTCCTTCCATTTGACACACCCTATCACGTTGCCCTTATGTTTGTGAATAGAGGGTTCTTCTGCGACTTGTATGATCCCCCAAAACGCTCTGCCTTCAAAATACCCTATCGCACGAAGTTGACTAATTTGTTGTTTTGCAGTGGGATGGATTCGTCCCACCACTATTAGCTCTTGAAGTTTGTAGTTTCTGAGTCCTTTCTTTCACCGTATGTCGAGTTTTTCTGTCATTCTATTTCTGAACAAGATCAAGCAGTATTGCTAGTTCCGTACGGAAAATTTGTCCCAGAGCAGTTAGTTCGATTTGCACATTCATTACTCCAGAGCGTTCATGTTCAGATTTCGTTTGCAGTTTTTCGTTTATCCCCGTTTTACATGAAGTAATGTCCCGAAGCGGTACACCCACCATATCCTCGAGCACTACCATTGATTGTCTGTTACAGTTTATTCTGTGAAATCATCTTATTTGCGGTTAGCCATCAACCAGAGGTCGTTGCTGTGTCCGCAACCAAAAGATACCCTCCGTGGCATAGAACTCAACTTTCTTCAATACATTCGCCCAAATTTTTCAACACAGTCAATGGTTGCCCACAACTCTACACTACATCCATCAGTAGATGCGTCTTGCACACTGAGGTGCAGATTATCTGCCCGTCAGCTTCTTCTACAGCTAATCCGGCATACATCCAATTGCCCTGTTCCACAGACGTACCATCAGAGATGGAAATCTGTTAAGAAGTTTAAGCACTCAAACGTCAGAGTGCACCGATATCCGATGACTTTTTCCTGTTCCACCTAATAATGGTGGAGTAAAACTGGTAGGCAGCTTCAGTTTCTCTTCTCAAAGGTTTCGGAAACCGTGTAGATCACCTTCACCTTGGGGACCTATTGTCGTCCCAATCTTAAGAAAGGGCTTACTCAGTTTCAGTTTGTACAACAATTAACTACGCATATTCGTGCGCCGGCTTCGGTTGCTGTCTTTTGGCTGCCATTGGGATGAAGAATAGGAGAAGAAAGGAAACTTCAAAGATGCACGAACGCCACTGTTTGCGACACCCAGCCGTATCACTCAGTGTCTCTGACCAGCGGTTACGATC